CCTTGGAGGGGTCCCAGTCCGGTGGGTAGTACTTGTTGACGTTCTTGCGATCGGCCATGGCGCATGACCAGCCAGGGCAAAAAAAAAAGGAGGACGGCGTATTAGCTTTAAGGTGGAGAGGAGAAAATGCAGTACATCCCAGTCATGGAATGCCGGGAGAGTAAGTGGTTGGAAAGTTTGACCCTGCGGGTTTTGGGCCATCGATGTTCCTCAACCACCCAACCTCGGGTTTCGATGTCGGTTTTGGCCGTAAAGACCTACAAAACTGTGCCTGTCTCTTCACATCCTTGCAGTGGTCAGAGGGATAGTTTGTACCCCGACGCAATCTTTCCGTTGCTGCGACAGCCCGCGAATCGAAACCGTGGCCATTTTTTCTAAGCAAGGCTTACTGTCAAAATCAAGAGATGGTGTCACGATACTAATATGCGCTGTTGTGGGTGCATGCCATCATCAGTACCGTGCAGAGGGGTTGTGTGGTGTGGTAGGGGCTTTTACCAAGCCTTTGTTTCGCTGCCGCGTCGTTTTATCGATCGTTGGGGCTAGCACTTGATGTCGCAGTAGCTAATTTGCCGAATAATTATGTTTTGAACTGAGACCCCCTATCTAGCCACCATGCTGTCCCTTCCCCCTGATGTACCCAAATGGGGCGTCTTGTCCGGTGCGACCGCGGCGAAGTCGTCCAGATTGGGCTGCCGTTGGGCCTATAATGGGTAGGGTCCGTCTATTGTCGGTGGTCGGACAGGGCGCCACCTCTACCCCTATTACCCCATCCCTTCAGCTGACCCCGACCGCGCCAGAAGGGGGTTCAGGGTCAAGTGTGGTAGCGCATCGGGGGGGGTAATGGTGTTTAGTCATCGGGTCCTTAGGATCGAGCCGGTGGTAGACCATTAAGGCTCTTGATACGACGGGGTATCTCATTGACTCTGTTGATTATGGAGCCTAAGGTTGAATCGCCCGGGGGGCGGGCATTGCCAGTTGGTAGCCTCTAGGGCCGCCAGTGCAGGGACAAATTGGTGACCGGTCCTGGCTTCACAGCACATAGGTAATTGTCTGCCCAGCCGAACGAGAGTGTGGTGATGTGGGATAAAGTGTTCCCCAGGCCGTTTAAAGTAAGGATCTGAACCCCCGTTAGGTCATATTGGGAACTTGGTAAGGGCCAGCCGGTAGGACCAAGAAAGGATTGGTGGCAGGTCAACGGATGGAAGAGGCCATGTTGAGTAAGGTGTTACAATAGGTAGAAGACCAAGGCGCTTATAAGGAAAGCGGGGTCGACTGGCTGTAGGCGGGGTTCAGCGTGAGCTGGGGCCCTACATTGGAATGAGGCATACGGGAACGGATGGTTCAACCGGAGGCCGCAGGAGGACCCCGAAGTTAGGTGATGGGCTCTCAGATGGGCCGTGCTCTGGAGGGGAGGGGTTCGTGACTGTAGGGCGCGTGGTCTAGGGGTGGGTGGGCCTCCACACCCTCTCACGTCGTGCTGGTGAATGGCTTGTCTGTGGCCAGTGAATGTAAATAGCTGATGGAGAGGAATCCCATCCCAAGGGAGTGGCTCAGTTATCCGCCACATAGGCGTGCATCGGGCTGAGCTGTGATTGGCCTCATCCGACTTCGCCAGGACCAGGGAAGAATGGGTAATGGAAGGCTCAGCCCAGCCAGCGAGATGTGCTTGTTCGGGATCATGACGTCGGATCCTCGTCGAGGTTCCCACACTCGCAGGGTTCGGCAGCGACAGTGACGGCGAAAGGATGTGATGGAAGGCAGACCTGATGTGCGCAGGGCGAAGGTGGACGGTTACGCACTCGGCCTAGCCCTTTCTCCGCCTCTTTGCCGGCGTCCGTGGGGCCGTGGCGTCACCCGCAGACACATGGTGGAGGTTGGGGGGAATAGGCTGAGCCGGCGGACTGACAGTGGGTGACGACCGAGTGCCACCCACTGACGCCGTCCTGTGGGTATATAGCCGAACCAGCCGCTCGCGTCTCTCCGCCTGTGCGCTCCTTATTGCCTGTTCCTTCCTTTCGCCCTTGTCTACAAGCATACGTTAACACGCTTTCAACCATCCCGTATGCCACGACCCTTCATCCATCGTTATACCATTCAAACCTCTCTGCCCAACCTCTCTACCCTCTCAGTCGTTCGCCATGGCCTCCTCGTTTGACGTTCGTGCCGTTCAGACTACCGTATACGACGGCCAGAAGCCCGGTACCTCCGGTCTGCGCAAGCGCGTCAAGGTGTTCCAGCAGGAGCACTACACCGAAAACTTTATTCAGGCCACCTTGGATGCCGTCTCACCGGATGGCGGGGCCCAAGGCGCCACCCTCGTTGTGGGCGGCGACGGCCGCTACTTCCTCCAGGAGGCCGTCCAGAAGATCGTCAAGATTGCCGCGGGCAACAAGGTAGGTACTTCAAATGTGCTAGGGTTACCGTCCGAATAGCGTCAGTCGTGTACATGGTTACATGGCCTTGAAGATTGCGGCTGTATGCAGAGGTGAGGAACGCGCAGGCACACTTAAGAGCTGGTGCAACCCTCTTCAGTGCCGGCGGGTCCCCGCAAGGTATCACTCCCCCCCACTTTGTCGTCTAGGTACCAGAATGTCGCCGATCCATGTTCCCTGCTTCGCTCACCACCTTATTACGCTATTTCCGCTACTTGGCATCCGCCCTTGAACTACAACCAGGTCACCAAGCTGATCATCGGCCAGCACGGTATCCTGTCCACGCCGGCCGCCTCTAATCTGATTCGCAAGCTCAAGGCTGACGGTGGGATTCTCCTGACCGCCTCCCACAACCCGGGCGGCCCCGACAATGACTTTGGCATCAAGTATAACGTGAGCAACGGCGGCCCCGCCCCAGAGTCCGTCACCAACCGCATCTATGAGCGCACCAAGGCCTTGACCACCTATCAGCTGGCCGACCTTCCCGACGTGGACCTGTCAGCGGTGGGCACCCATCAGTTCGCTGGCTTCACCGTTGAGGTTGTCGACTCGATCGACGAGTATGTCGCCCTGATGCACCGTCTGTTTGACATTTCCCTGATCCGCAACTTCCTACGCGCCCGGAAGGATAGCTTCTCGGTGCTGTTTGACGGCATGCATGGCGTGACTGGGCCCTACGCTCATCGTATTTTCGTCAAAGAGCTGGGCCTACCGGAAACCGCCGTCATGAACGCTCAGACTCTGCCAGACTTTGGCGGTGGCCACCCGGACCCTAACCTGACCTACGCCCACGAGCTGGTCGAGCGCGTACGCCGCGACTCAGTCAGTTTCGGCGCGGCTTCGGACGGCGACGGCGACCGCAACATGATCATCAGCCATGACTGGTTCGTTACCCCGTCCGACTCGGTGGCTATCATCGCTGCCCACGCCCACCGTCTCCCTTATTTTAACCAGGGTCAAGTGAAGGGGTTGGCGCGCAGTATGCCTACCAGTGCAGCCCTGGACCGCGTGGCGGACAGGCAGGGCCTCGAACTGTACGAGGTCCCTACTGGCTGGAAGTTCTTTGGTAACCTCATGGACGCCGGTCAGCTGTCCATCTGCGGTGAAGAGAGCTTCGGCACGGGCTCAGACCACATCCGCGAGAAAGACGGCCTATGGGCCATCCTGGCTTGGCTCAACATCATCGCCCACATCAGCGAGGAGCGCGGTACCACCGTAGGAATCCGTGATCTTATGGACCAGCACTACCAATCCTACGGCCGCAACTACTTCACTCGCTACGACTACGAGGAGGTAGACAGCGCCTCCGCCAGTAAGGTCATGGACGTCCTTCAGGATCACATCCAGTCGCAGAAACTCGTGGGCCAAGCCCTCGGCTGCGATACCGCCAAGTTCACCGTAGCCCAACTCGACAACTTTGACTATACTGACCCCATCGACGGCAGCGTGTCGCGTAACCAGGGTGTCCGCATCATATTTGATGATAGTTCGCGCATCGTGTTCCGCCTCTCTGGCACCGGATCCCAGGGTGCCACCATTCGCCTCTACATTGATAAGTACGAGGGTGACGCTAGCGCCTGCTTCCTCGACGCCCAGGTGGCCCTCAAACCCCTCATCCAGGTCGCCCTCGAGGTATCCCAGCTGACCGCCCTGACCGGCCGCGAGAAGCCCACCGTGATCACGTAAACAGGCGGGGGGACGGTAGCGCCATATATCCTCGGGAACGGACGCAGGTTCCATTTTCCAGCTGCCAGACGCTAGAACTAAATAAATATCAATGCGTATGAATGATCCAAGGCGAGACAACTTAAACTTTAGAGACCACATCGGTACATGCCTGATGCCCGTAAAAGGCGGAGGGTAACTGGTCGAGGGTCGTACATAGTTTACTGAGCATATAGAGGGGTGTCAAGGCGCAAGGACATCGCACTCAGCAAGGTAGACGTAATGAAAGGTGGGCGAATGGAGAAGTAGGAAGGGGATGGGTGCTACGAATACCAGGCAATACACAACCGTAAGTGACATTCGACGAACGAGCTTTGGGAGAACCGGGGCCCTTGGTTGGTATAGTTAGTTTGTGAGGTGGCCAAGTCGTTGGTCGTGGGTGAGCGATCTTGAGTGTTGTGGTCCACCGCTACCAACCACAACAGACTTCAGCATAGCCCCGAAGCTAGATAGCATCCGATCAATGCATCCGGCTCGAATTTCCCGGGTCTATTCTTGTATCACTGATAATCACACTCACAGAGAAATAGTTTATTGTTCTTGAAAACAACCGGGCGACAACTTGGCATCAGGTACGTAGTATAAAACGGGGTCCACCCGGCCCAATCGAATATAGAACTTTCCCTTTGGCGTTTCAATGAATGCTTCGACTCGCTTTCACAGTACAAACATTTCAACGCTTTCTCTGGGCGACGCACAACATAGGTAGCCAAGATTGGTGGGTTTCTGGGCAACGCAGTATCATTTGATGTTTGCGTATCTAGATCAAACATGACTGTTGACTAGTGTGGCGGGGTTGCAAAATGACGACCTCAACCCGTGGCCATAAAAAATAGAATCCGATGAGGAGTGAGCGGATCGAACGCCCAACCTTGCGCTCTGGAGGCGCACGCGCAACCATTGCGCCAACCCCTCTGG